GGAAGCTGAAAAATAAAGAATTACTTTGGAACTGATTGGTTTTGAAAGATCTTCGGTTTTGCATGAAATTTAACGGAATATTATTTTCTTGTTGTTTCAATATGATCGTTAGAGTCTTGTCAATTCAGAAAATTTTTAGTTTCTTCCGAGAACATCTTGTATTAACTTCTGTTGTCAATATACTGATGTCCCTTGGAAGGTACATTCGGCTTTTAAGGGTTAATACATAAAAGTATCATCTTTACCCCTTGGAATTATAGCATCTACTTTCTACTATAGTTAGCACATGCTAGAAGAGAGAAACTTTATATGTTGATAATATCACAAAAAATGGCTCATTTTCTATTCTCGTTCTATGACATGCACGATGAAAACAACACCATATCATGAAAGGACCGAATAGTTGTCATGAAATTTACTTTAATATTAATCATATAATAGAGTATGCTAATGAATAAATTATAATATTTTCTTGACTATACATTCAATGCAAAATTTATTAAGTTCTACAAATAATATCTTCTTTAACAAAACATTTCACAATACTAACAAATAAAATCTATTGCTTTGACTAAAGATTTGGATGTTCTACCTCTCTGCATCCATTGATGGACTTAAACAATAAATGATTAAGTTGTGTTTTATTCTTATGACAAATTAAAGAGTTGAACAAAAAAAAACTAGTCAATATAATTAACAATCACATCCATTACAGTCACAACCACCACAGTCACAACCACCACAGTCACAACCATCACAGTCACATTTATTGCCAGAATCATCAGAAGAGCAACAAACATCACCATTTGAATCTGAATTATTTTTGTTCGATAACCATAAACAACAACATAGATTAAAATCATCACAAAAATAGCGTTTAAACCAATTGTCTGAAGAAACTGGTTGACATTTTTTTTGCTTACATTTTTCTTCATTCGTCATTGATTCCTGTATATAATCTAAATCTTCTGATGTACACGGCTGTTGCGTCACTCTATATTGACTCGATCTTGTATTGCTCATTGTATAAATGAATTTCTTGTGCTTATTTTGTTTTTTCCCTAGCTATATATATGAAACGAAAGAAGGTAAAAAGAAGTCGTTATTTATTTTGAAATTTATTTTCTCTGTTGAAAGAAAGGTCATACATTGAATGCATAATCTTCATTCATTACTGACTAGAAGAAAAAGAAAAAAAATATGGATGTTCGTTACAAGTGACAGAACATGATGTAATGAATTGGACGAGGTAGCTCTATCGCTATCGTCGAAAACGATGCTTATTGAGCTACTTCATCCTTTCATTGTTGTTTACATAAGTACAAATGCACGCTTATATACTAGTCACAAAAGAGCAGAGAAAAAGAAATACACATCGTCAAGCTGTTAACACTATGAAGAAGTCATGCTGAGAAAAAGAGACAAGAGAAATGAAGTGTAACGGCGAATAATAAATGTCGCCGGGATTATATAAAATATACAACTTTGAAAATTTTTGCAGTCAGATAGCTTTGGTATATGAGATTCAAACATGTATGTGTCTGTTAATCAGAGTTTCTCAGCAACGCAAACCTGATTAATATTTCACTGGGCATTTTTATTTGAAACTTAACGAAGAGCGAATCGTATATTGCACGCTAAAAAATTGGTATAATATCAAATCTTATAGGTTCTGGATTTCGGCATGAATTGATTTTAGGTTCTGTAAAAGCAAAGACATTTCACGCTGCTCGTACCAAATCTGTTTAAGTTTAGAGAATGTCAATGAATTTGGTATCTTGCTTACAAAATTCATTGTTGGTTTCGAAATATGGACAACTTCTGAAGTTTAGTACGTAACCATTATGAAACGATGAGATGTAAGGTGCGGGCAGGTCAAACTTCAAGTAAAATTTTTTTTTTTGCCTTTTTTTTACATCATCTGATAGAGCTTGAGCTGCTGATCACGAAAATCTACATTTTAGCCTCAGTAAATGCTTCCTTCCGATCGAAAAATACGTAATACTCGAAAGGTGCCGTTTTTCGAGAAAAACTCATTCTCTCTAGAAATGTGTGAAATTTTCCACCTTAATCTTTTTTTTGCTTCTGAAAATAATTTTTTCAGATTCAGCATCAAAAACTGAGTAGAAATAAGTTGTTAAATCAACTAAAGACCCAAAACTCTATTGATGGTAGCACTTCGAATCGCGCCGAATGCACTGCGTATAGGTCGATTTTGTAAACCTATCTAGTTTTTCTACGTAAGCGATAAAGGCAAATATTTTATCTCATTCGACTCATCATACCAGCAGTTACAAAGTTACAGAGCACTTTTTTTCCTTTTCTTTCCTTTGTCGAGAAAAGTCGTTTTTACTAAATTCTGGGCAAAAAAGTTGGAATTCTGCCGGTATTTCTCAATTTCCTTCATCAAAACTACGTTTTCATGCATTAAGATTATCATATTCGGAATCAGCGTAAAAAATTACGTCGATCTATGTATAATTTTATCGTTTCCTTTCACTTCAATTTTTTTCGAATTTTCACCCGATGCAGGAGCTGAAATTTTCGCGAAAAAATGAAAGGTGACAAAAGTTTTGAAAATATACATAGATCGACGTAATTTTTCACGCTAATTCCGAATATGATAATCTTATTGCATGAAAACGTAGTTTTGATGACGAAAATTGAGAAATACCGGGAGAATTCCAGCCTTTTTGCCCAGAATTTAGTAAAAACGATTTTTCTCGACGAAGGAAAGAAAAGAGAAAAAAAGGCTCTGTAATTTGATGACAAGTGGTATGATATATGGAATGAGATAAAATGATTGACTCCATCGTTTACGTAGAAAAACTAGATATGTTTACAAAATCGACCTTTACGTATCATAGTCGACACAATTTGAAGCGCCACCACCAATAGAGTTTTGGGTCTAGAGTTGTTTTGAAAACTGGTCTGTACTCAGTTTTTGATGCTGAATCTGAAAAAGTTATTTTCAGAAACTGAAAGAAAGAACGAAGCAGAAAATTTCGCACATTTTGAAAAAGATGTGGTTTTTGAAGAAAACGACATCCTTCGAGTATTTCGTATTTTTCGATCGGAAGGAAGCGTTTACTGAGGCTAAAATGTAGATTTTCGTGATCAGCAGCTCAAGCTCTATCAAATGATGTAAAAAAAAAAGGCAAAAGAAAAATTTTTACTTGAATTTTGCTTTGTCGGCACCTTAAAAATTATTCACCACTATGAGCATTCGACTCAAGCCAGGTTACGAAAAAATTTTTCGTTTTCGAAGTGGAACTGTAGTCTCGACA